GTATATGTATATGTATGTATATGTATATGTATGTATATGTATATGTATAGATATATATAAACGATTTGATCATCGACGCAAATGATATGAGTGATTGAATCAAGAAATATAGATTGATAATGATCGAATTTTAATCATACGAGTGATTGTGATAATGATCAAATTTTGATCATATTATTTGATAGACAAGCATATCAGATGTTTCACCCTATGCCGTTGGGTAGATTAGTATCGATCAGTCATTTTATTAATATGATAAGTATTAATTCTATTTATATGATTTTATATTCTTTAATAGAATTAGTTGAGTTTTGAGGCATACTAAATGATATACCTTGTTTGATACATATCACTTGAAACAGATCGATTCGATTATGATCGTTAGATCGACCGGTATGTATCGCACTTTTCGCATCGTATCGGACGGTTTGATCAGACCTATCTATTTATAATGGTTGTATATTCTTTAATGGATATATACATATCTATCCTTTTGTTGTTTGGAAATAATGCAAATTTTGATATGACCACTTTTATCATCAGTAATTTAATTTAGTTAGGGTTAACATAACGTATTCACTATCTAAAATGGATTATACATTTTGATTCTATACATATGTTTGACTCAAATTTAGAGAATGAGTATGAAAATTAAAACTCAAGAGGGATATATGAATGTAAATTTGTCTTTTTCATTAACACTAATAATAAATATGAGATTATGCTTAACCCTACAATGAGTTCACTCCAACCCGACATCTTCCTCTTAAAGTCAATTGACCACTTCAGCCCATCAGCCACGGAGGCCCAGGCGGTACCGAGAGAGAGAGAGAGAGAGAGAGAGAATGGTGACGGGATCGCTCCTGGGGCTCAAACCCTGCACATCGCTGCCCTCAATTACTCCCCTAAATCGTCCGCCCGCTCCGAGAAACGCCCTTTCTTCTCCTGGTATGAAATCGATTCTTTGATCTTTTACCGGTGTTGGTGTTTGGTGGATAATTTAGCTTTCTTTCTCTTCTCGTTGCTCTGATTTTTCAGTTACGGCGGTCTCGGGTTGTCGGAACAACCAGTTCAATTGGAACCTAAGGTTTCACTGCCCCAAGCCTGCGATTCCGATCAGGAAGCAGACCACGGTGCGAAGAGACACCGTCGTTAGATCGGAGATAGCTGCTGCCGGGTTCCCTGATGACGCGGCAAGCTCCCTTACAGGTTTGCTGAGAGAAAAATGTGTTTTTGGGTTTTTTGGAAATTTATTTTCTTTTTTCTAGGAACGTTGATATTTTATTTTAGAATCTTAATCGCAGCGAATCGAGTATGATTATGTTACCAAGCATGCTGACAAGTTGTTGATTTTTTTGTCATTTGGCTTTCGTGAATCATATTGATTACAAGTGGTTTGAGAAAATGCCTTAAAGAAACAGAAAACTCATTTCTTGAACTTTGGAAGAATCAATTATGTAAGTGACACCATGTCCTCTCCATTCTAGATGACATGATACACATGAAGATATTTAGAAGGAACAATTAAAAACCCATTTCTTGATCTCTGGAAGGAGGAAAAATAAGAATTTTAGAATGAAGACTGGGCCAAATGGATTTAATCATCTTGATTATATATTATATGAGAAATTTCATTGTAATTGCTAAATTTTAATTTCTCACATTTGGATGGGGTTTGCTGTTGATCAGAATTTCAATTGGTTTCAAGAATCAGAGGGATTTGCTTTTACTTTGTCACGGCTGTGTCTGCGATCTTTCTGTTTGCCGTAATGGTGGTGGTGCACCCATGTGTGGTCCTTTTTGATAGGCATCGGCGCAGGGCTCATCACTTGATTGCAAAGATTTGGGCAACAATGACTATTGTTCCGTTCTATAAATTTGAGTTTGAGGGGATGGACAATTTGCCTCCTCAGGACACCCCAGCTGTGTATGTCTCTAACCACCAGAGCTTCCTGGACATATACACTCTTCTGACACTTGGAAGGTGCTTCAAGTTTATAAGCAAGAGAAGCATATTTCTGTTCCCAATCATCGGATGGGCAATGTTCCTCATGGGTGTAATACCTCTTCGCAGAATGGATAGCAGGAGCCAGCTGGTAATTGTTTTACTAATGTTTCAATTTTTCTGGGGTCATTGTTCTCGAGATATCTCAGTTTCTGTTAGATACATCAAATTAGTGTTTTCCAATATGTAAACCATTTAAGTATTTGCCATGAAAATTTTAATCAGTCACTTTGAATTTAAGGTTTAATGATATAATCAATAATAGTTTGCCCTCATTCTTTCTAGATGGATCTAAATCCAAGATATCTTTTCACGTTCATGATACCCTTGTTATTTTTTTTTTCCTTGCACAAAGGGGAATTACAGATGTCCTGGTTCCTATTTAAACTGGAAATTTTATGAGAATCAGTAGAAGGGTATTTTGTACGCAGACTTCCATTTTGCTGATTCTCTTATGTTGCATTATTTTATTACATGTATTTTATTTAATCTTGTCATTGTTTGCAGGATTGTCTCAAGCGTTGCATGGAATTGGTGAAGAAGGGAGCATCTGTTTTTTTCTTTCCAGAAGGAACTAGGAGTAAGGATGGAAAGTTAGGTGCTTTCAAGGTGAAATTTGTAGGCTCCATTTAAAGTCATTAAATGTGATTATGTCAGTGGAGTTTCTGAAATGAGTTGGCTTAATTATTGACCTTGTAGAAAGGGGCATTTAGCGTTGCTTCAAAGACCGGTGTGCCTGTTGTGCCCATAACCCTTATGGGAACTGGAAACGTTATGCCTGCAGGAGAGGAGTGTATGATAAACTCAGGTTCAGTGAAAGTTGTAATACACAAGCCTTTAGATGGAAGAGATGCAGACAAACTCTGCAATGAAGCTAGAGATTCAATAGCTCAAACACTCTTGCTTCATGGCTATGGAGTACATTGAAATAACTAGATACTACTGAATTTCGGACATCTCATGTTGATGTTTTCACTTTGTCGAACACTTTCAGGTATTCTTTTTTTTTTTTAATTCTGTATAGGGAAGTTCTTTGTCGAACCCTTTCAGGTAAATTTTTTTTATTTTATATTCTGTATATGAAAGTACACCATACATGGTTATATTGCTCAAACAAGTAAACAGAGGTCCTAAAATTAACAACTGAACCAGACATGTAATTTATATCCTAGTTTGTTTTCTTTATTCACTTGTTATGAGCTGAAGCATATGTTACATGATTCCACATATAGCTTTGAGACTTTCATTTGTGCATTGACTGCGGAGCTGAAATTTTGTTTCATTTCCCTGATAAAGGCGATGTGCCGTTTAATGTTTTACATCTGGCACCATCAAACCACAATCATGGAGCAATCTCTGAAAAGCTTTCATGTGGTCTGATCTTGCTGACCAGAATTATGTGGAAAGCTCTCTATAATAGAACCTCATTGAGTATCATTAATTTTAGTTCAATGGAAATAACTATACTAGAATTATGGTTTTCATAACCGTGTTGCTTTTTCACTGCTTACACTTTCAGTTGCAAGATTATGATTTATCGTCGCTAGGCTTTTTAGCTAATGTTTGTGGGGTTCTCGGTTCTGTAATTGGCTCTACAGTACCTACGGGAATCTAACAATACTGAATATGGGTGTTCAGGTTTTGAGAATTGCCATTTGTAATTATGGTGTCCCATTTGATTGCTTACATATGAATTAATAATTTTCAGCAAACTTCAATTTTAGTTAGCCCATGCCATACTGCATATTTATAATTTGTTCATGGCTTGTCCGAATCGCAGGAGTAGCATCTTCTGACTCTATAGAGGGTGAACAAACTGCACAAGAATAAGAGGAAACATGATAGGCTTTTAGAAGCACTACCTGTTGCAGAGGCAGTGAGGACTACTGGTTTAACCGGGAATTCTGGCGAGTGAAGCTAGTTTCAAAGTAATGAATTAGAATTCCTAGTTTTCCTTTTGAAGAAATTCTGAGACTCTTTCTTTAATAAGAGTTTTCCTAGTCTTCCTTCTCTTATTGACATTAGTAATGTGGAAAGGTATATGAATAAATGGTTTCTGACTCCTAAAGCCGATATGGCGAATATGTTTTCTTTCTCTATATATATCTTTACGGTAAAGCCGATATGGCGAATAATGAAGTAACTCATTATTCAGAGCTCTCTCAAATTTATACATGGTTTTAAAGGATTTAGTGAGTTATAGACAATTTAAATTTTGGATTTTTTTTTTTGCTCGCCTGGAGGAAAGTTTTCATCAGCTGATGTTTAGAAGAGGATATTGTTTTCATATAATACAATATATGAGTACATTATTGCTGTATAATTTATAATTTTTTCTCCCAAATAAGGTCATTTGTATCATGTATTTTTTGCCACAAATAATTATATATATAATCAAATTTGATCATCAATTTGATATGATAAAATTGATTTGACCCGACCTACTTTCATGTTTAAAAAATGAATGATCATTGAGGATTTAGGGCTTGTAGAAGGAAGAAATTTTTTTTTGTAAAAATTATGTCTCATATTATTCTTTTTTTTTGTAAAAATTATACCATGATGGTTTTTTCAACAACACTAATATGTATTCGTTTACTTTAGGCATCAAAAATCGATAAAGAAAAGATTGGCCTTATAATCACGTAGTCAATAAGTGTATGTTTTCTTAGATGTCATTCTGATTAGTATATGTTTTTATTGTCATTATATGCAATAGATGTTGATTGGACTCGACGTTGAACCCCAAACAATCGAAAGTATGCGAGAGAGACGTTCTTCTCCCTATGCTGTCCAAGAATACTACCTTCTCCTTTGTTCTTGCTCTCTATAACAGCGTGTCAAAATTGCTCCATGGTCACAAATGACATGTATTGAGCTTGTATCTGACTCGAGTTCAATCAGGCCGCAGCTACACCGAACCGGTTTGGACCGGAATCAATTACGGTTTCCTGTTGGGCTAAGCAAGGTTTGGCCCACGTAAAAATACGTCCACGGATGCTATGATTCTAGAGTTTGCTGTCTTATGCCCAGCAGGAAATCCTTCAGTGCGCGCGACCTATATATAAATATCTACCCTACCCGAAACCCTAGTCCGCAGCGAGAGGAGCGGCTAAACCTAAGCGAAGCAGCCGTCCCTCCACCAAGAGCGCCACAGCCAACGCCGCCGACATGGGCCGCGTCCGGACGAAGACGGTGAAGAAGTCGTCGCGCCAGGTCATCGAGCGGTACTACTCGCGGATGACCCTGGATTTCCACACCAACAAGAAGATGCTGGAGGAGGTGGCCATCATCCCCTCGAAGCGCCTCCGCAATAAGATCGCCGGATTCTCTACCCACCTCATGCGCCGCATCCAGCGCGGCCCTGTCCGCGGCATCTCCCTTAAGCTCCAGGAGGAGGAGCGCGAGCGCCGCATGGACTTCGTCCCCGACGAGTCCGCCATCAAGGTCGACCACATCGAGGTCGACAAGGATACGGTCGACATGCTCGCGTCCCTTGGTATGACCGATATCCCCGGCGTCGAGCAGCAAGCCGATGCGCCCGCCGCCCCTACTTACCCGTACCAGTCGCGCCCCGGCGGCGGTTATGGCGCTGGCCGCAGGAACTGAGACGGGATCTTGGCACAGCGGGCTCGATCTTTTCCGAAAACAAGTTCCCTTTTAAGGATTATATCGCTTAAAGTTTAGATTTTTGTGTGGATTGTGGTTACTATAGCCATGCGGACATCCTCTTTTGATATCTGTATTTGATTGCTTAAAATGGTTTGTCTACAATCAAGTAGCTTATCTTGCATTGTGCTTGCGTTCTAACCTTTTATGCTTGGTTTTCTCATGTGCTTTAGATTTTTCTTTTTTCATTGTGCATTTGGGATAAACAAGTTCTTTTCTTTAAAGTAGTGATGATTTGCAGCAGGATCTATGAATCTATTAGTTTGCTGATTACTATTGAGGCACAAGACCATGTTCTAACTTTATATCTATCATAAATTTTGTTTTCTGTTTGGCACTTCTTAGCTTTCTGTGGATTTTTAAATGCTTAATAATAGTAGCTAAGTAATCAATTCAAATAATAAATGTAAAATTCACTCTCAGGTCTGTTAGAAATACAAAATTTTTAATCAAGCCAATAGTTATTCACCAAAAATCCAGAACGAGTGTGATCTAATACATTCATATTTTGGAATTTCTAATTTCTTCTAGATAATAGTTAGCTGATTTGTTTTTGCTAATGAGGACTCCTTTGCACATAGTTAACTGGACAAGCAATTGAGAAATGGAATGGTAAGATGGAGGGGGTGGGCAGAGATCTAGCTGATGGGAGAGAGAATACCCCTTAATGTTGCTGATTGCAGGTTGTAGATTGCTGCTAGTTGATTCAGTGTCGACGGTAAGACGAAACAAGGGACAAGGACTATGAGAACTAGTGCATCTCCGCTCTTATTAAACACGTCTTTGATTGCCTGGTTTACACTGTCTCACTGGTTTCAGTTTGTAAAGTGTCTTTTTTATCATCGATTGTTTTGATTCATTCAAGTTTTAATGCCCTTATACGAGGGGTAAATCACTAACAAAAAATTGTTGACCTAATGGTTTTACTTAGTCTTGCTTCTGTAGTTTCTTGCACTGATATACGTTTGCACCTCTATAATGTTTTGTTTGCTCCCGAGTTGTGGATTTACTGGTCCAGGATGTGAATGCTCAAATCCTTCTCTCTTATCGATTAAATTGACTTGCATTGATACATGTTTGCACCTCTATAATGGGGGTTAGTGGTTTTACTGGTCCATGGTATGCATGCTCAAATCCTTCTATCTAATTCGTTAAATGTGCAGGGAATTCGATTAGCTGAACTTAAAATTGACTTGTGTTCAGCTTGCATATGTGGTATGGTTTCACATGTTGAACTTGCAGCTTCTTTTACCACGTTTTTTTCTTTTCTGACTGTTTTCAATAATGATTCTGTGGTAGAACTTGTTACTTGGAGCATTTTTCATGTTGAACTATGGCTGTGGTAGAACTTGTTACTTGGAGCATCTTCAAGACATCCTCGTGAGAGATTTCCTGCACCTATCCTGAGGCATTTTGTGGCATTGAGATGCTGGTTTCTTTCCCTTGCTGGCTTACCAGGCAAATCAGTTCAATGACTGAAGACCATACAGAGTTTATTGGATTGTTTATGGCTGATAGAGACCAAGTTTTTATCTTTGCAGAGCACCAACGTAAGATGATGCAAAAATATGCACGCTTCTTTTGCTTCTTGGCATATCCCTTTGCATCTAAAGCCCATTTAATAGCCCCCTATTAGATTGATGGATCCCATAATCCTATTTGACCCTATATATATATATATATATATATAGAAACAAATAGAGAACTTTTCTTAGATTCGAGACCAAGTAACATGTGTGTGAATCTGGATAGTTATTCTCCTAATCTTATCCATTTCTCAACCCGATTAACGGGACCTAATCGGGTTCGATAGGTACAAAAATCCGACCCGGTATGAGCCAACGTGGAGCGATAGGGACGAGGAATGTTCGGTGTTCCGAACGCTTCCCAGCCCAAGATTTTGTGCCCTCAGTAACAAACTCCTCGTGGGTCCCACAGAAGGGAAGGTAAGGTTCGTGGGAGAAATGTGGGGACGCGTTCTCCAACTCCTTCCAAGTTTAACTGTAGTCTATCGCCCATTTTGTCGAGATCCAAATGCATTCTTATCTCTCTCTCACTCTCTCAACGCCTCCGTCGTTTCGGCGTGGATCGAAGCGGAATGGTCGGCCTCCTTAGCTCAAATCTCGTGTTTTCTTTTTGACCTTCGGGTTGCTTTCATTGTGCGATCCGTGATTCGTGATTCAGGTAGAGTAGAATCTCTTGTTCCCCTGATTTGTCTGCTCTGTGAACTCCTCTTAAAGATTCTGTTTTGTAGTTCTAAAGCAGTCGCGCGAGTTGTCTTCGTCATTTCTGGTATTGATTCGGGAAAGCAATAAACCAAATCTTGTACCTTTATTTGACATTGACAGTTCCCCCTTTTAAAAGTTTGGTTTTTGGCACCAGTTTTCGCGATGCGTTGCTTTATTCGGGTGTTTAGGAGCAAGGACAAGAATCTAGATATAAGATTTCTAGTTCGATATTTGAACAACCATGAGCAGTGTTGTTGCTCATGGCTGTAATGTTTGATGTCTTGAAACTTCTTTTCCATTTTTGAAATTTTTTTTCTTCCTATCTAACCTAATCCAGCAGATATTTCACAGCTGGCTTGCGAAGTCGAAATTTTCTTCCTGATGATCTGGTTTGTGATTTGGTGGAGCATCCGGAATCCAGGGTATGCTGCTTTTGCGTCTCAGGTGCAATGAACCAACACAGCGCACTCGGTTGATGTTCATGCACTTAAGTCCTTTTTTGTTAGTTTCTTGTCCCGTTGGTAAGAGCCTTATTTCTTCTCCCTCGGTTGTTTTTTTTTTTTTTTTTCGGATTTCGAGTAAGGAAAGAATTTAAAGGTATTTCATTCTCTTTATTCTAGATTTTTGAATTCTTGGATTTGTTGGAGGAAGGAGATTAAAGGAAAGCTCTAAAAGGTGGATTTGAGGCATCAAGGAGTGATTGTGTCGCTAAGAATCAATGCTGAATGTTGAAGGTGGTGGAATGGAGCAGAATCGGCACGAAGATTGTTCTCAACCCTGTTCAAATTTGTGCCCTAATCATAGTTCACAGTGTGATTCTTCCTCTCAAAGTGGCGAGGAAAAGGGAGGAGGGCCAGGTCAGACTTCACAGGCAATTCACATGGGTGGGGCAGTGGATTCTCCTGATCTTATCGTTGTGATCACTCAGCCAGAGGAGGTTCCACTCCCCGGCATGAGCATCTCCCAGAGTAAAGCTTCAGAAGGCGACGAGAAAATCGGTATGATGGCTGCTACATCTGCGGTTACTTCTCTGAAGGTTTTCTTGCCGAGGAGTGAGAGTTACAAGGATCAGTGCAGGTATCATGCAACTTTACCATCTAACTTTGTTTTATCGGATCACATTGTATGTCTTGTTTCGAATTAGGCTGATGAATGCAGTTTATTATTATTTTTATACAAATTTCAGTATAATAAGCAACTTATGCCTTTATTCTTTTCTCTTCATACTCATGATTTCTTCTGTTGTTAGAAGGTCACTGAATGTAAATAAACATTATACCATAAACAAAATATTTTCTTAAATAAGGAATCCTTGGCACATTTTTATATTTGCACATCACAAGGTGAAGATATGTCCATCTGGAGGAGAATATGATCGACTTAATAATGCATAATACCTCGCATTTAATGCTCTAGCGTCAGTAAGCTTTTTTTTTCCTCTCTTGTCCAAATCGTATATGCATTCAATCTTTTGAGAGTTTTTTTTTTTTTGCTTTTTCAGGTGTGTTAGACAAATTTAGAAAATTTTGATCACTGGCTGTATGTTGAAACAGGAATGATTATAACACCAACAATCAGCAGATCTTATAGTATAAATGAAACAGTGATTTGCTGTTTTAGAATATCATCTTTTAAGCAACAGAAATATCTAATTTGACTGACAAATTATAATTTATTTATGTGCATTCTGATGCTTGTATGACCTTAGTGCAAACCCATCTAATATTAAGTATGAACTATATTGCTGATATTTCGGATTGTCATTCAAAGCCCTGAATTACTTTGTATTTTCAAAGTCTAGCTTAACTTAATGCACCAGATTTACTCGAAAATGTTCAGGTTACCTTATATGTTTCTGATGACTGACCAGTTCCTCATGTCAGTATGGTTTGCTTTTCTGCTCATGCTGTTTATTTGGATGTTTCAGTTTCTCCATAGTGCCATTATAATGCTGATGCAGGATTTATGATGTTTTTTACTTGAACAGAGTTTGTCAACAGCAAACAGAAGAACCACTGATTGATCTTGGGTGCAGATGTCGAGGTGAGCTTGCAAAAGCACACAGCTCTTGCATACAAATTTGGTTCCGTACTAAAGG